TGGGGTGATCAGCCAGCTAACTATCTGGTGACAGATTCATTATAGTGGGCAACTTCCATCACGGAAGGGACAGTATTTTGTTCTTACTGGAATAGACGTTATAGGTATGGATTTGCCTTCCTTGCATACAATATTTTTGCCAAAACTGAGAGCCCTGAACTTAAGAAATGCCTTATCCACTGACATGGTATTCCACATACCATTGCTTCTGATCAAGGTGCCCATTTCACAGTAAATGAAATATAGCAATAGGCCCAACCTCATGGAATTCACTAGACTTACCATGTTCCCCACCATCCTGCAGCAGCTGCCTTGAAAGAATGGTAGAAGCACCTTTTGAAGACTCAGTTACAATACCAAGTAGGTGAAAATCCCTTTCATGGCTGGGGTAAGGTTCTCCAGGTGACTATAAATGCTCTGAATCAATGTCCAATATATGCTTCTGTTTCTCTCATAACCAGGATTCATGGTTCCAGCAATCAGGGGGTAGAAATGTGAGGGGCATCATTCACTATTACCCATAGTGACCCAATAGCAAGAGCTTTGCTTCCTATCCCCCACACTTTATGTTCTGCTGGCTTGGAGGTCTTAGGTCCAAAGGAAGAAATGATCCCACCAGTAGACAAAACAATAATTCCATTGAACTGAAAATTAAGACAACCACCTGGCCACTAAACTAATTGTTTTATAACTATACATTGTTGGTTTACAGTTATGCGAATGATTTTCCTTTTTAAGTTTGTTTATTTATTTATTTATTTTGAGAGAGAGAGAGAGAGAGAGAGAGAGAGAGTAGGGGAGGGGCAGAGCGAGAAGGAGAGAGAGAATCCCAAGCAGGCCCCCCACTGTCAGCACAAAGCCCGACACGGGGCTTGAACCCATGAACTGTGAGATCGTGACCTCAGCCAAAACCAAGAGTCTAACATTTAACCATCTGAGCCACCCACATGCCACGCAAATGGTTTTCTTCTATTAACTCAGCAATTATATTTTTAAAGATACTCCTGAATTTTCTGTGTGGAGAGGTTTTCAGGACATCTAGTCTGCAGTGCTCCCGGGGAAGCAAAATACATTATCAACAGATTTGCACTCTAACTTAGCATGTCCCTACACAGCTATGCAATTATAAGCAAGTTTTCTTCTCTTCAAAATTATAAGGCTTAAGAAGGTGAGCTGAGTTTCTTTAACATGTGATCATATGACTCTCTATTCATTCTCAGCTGATAGATCACTCTGTTATGTCATATTGAAGGCCTTTTTTTCTGTTTTCCAAGGTTTTAGTAAATGCCAAAAATATTGATCCACCCTCTTTTAGGGTCTAGAGTTGACTGCACATTTGAAGAGTCAGGAAATAGGCTGTTCCTAAAGCTATGCCAGATTATGCTAACTTCACCAAGTCACTTTAAACCCCATTTCCCTTTACCTTCTTACCACTGTTGTGGAAGTTACTGCTTTAAAAAAAAGCATAAAAATAGCACTAGACTAAAACTTGCAAACCCAGTCTGTAAATAGGAAAGTGAGGACCTTAAAAGAAGAGAGAATAGGTAGAAAACAGGTGTTCCTACCTGCCTAATGCAGCTGGTAGCCCCTTCTTTCAATTCCTGTCGTTGAATTTTAGATGAAGGAGAAAACCTGGTATTTCAGCTCTGTCATTGACCCTGAGTCATGTATGAGCAGGACATATCATCGAGATTCTCATGGTATGGGGCGCCTGGGTGGCTCAGTCGGTTAAGAGTCTGATTCTTGATTTAGGCTCAGGTCACCATCTCACAGTTTTGTGAGTGTGGGTCCTGCGTCAGGCTCTGCACTCTCAGTGCTGAGCCTGCTTGCCTGCTTGGGATTCTCTCCCTCTCTCTCTACCCCTCCCCTGCTCATGCTGTCTCTGTCTCTCCCAAAATAAATAAATAAACTTAAAAAAAATTTTTTAAAGATTCTAATGGTACAAGGAGCAACTTTAGCAATTCTGAGTGCAGAACAAACATTGCTCATGAGGTGGGATCTAAGAGGATCAACTTGAAAACTGGTTCACTGTGTCAGACTTAGGAAGGCTAAGGTAGAAGCAGAACAGACAGGGAGCTTCCTTTCACTTTTGCTCAGAAAAGCATTGCCGTAATTGTTGAAGAACCATCCCCTTCTACGTGAAGTCCCTAACATTGCCCCCCTGCTCTCCAGTGGCTCCTCTTCACTTCCACACAAGGACGAGTTCTCAGTGGCAGTCTAGCTTCAGCGAGACTCCACAGGGAGCACTAGCATCTGGGCAGTTCACAGAGTTATTCCACCCTCAGGCATGGGGACTGGCTGTAAGAATACCTATTTCAGTCTATCATTGGCTGAGGACTGCTCCCTGGGGCTGGGGCTATCACCTTTTAGGATATGGCTCCGGTTGGATCGAGAGCTCCTCTCCAGAAGCAGGGGCAGCAAGCCTTAGCCGCAGCACTTACAGAACCCAGTGCAGGAGTGGAGGAGTGCACCGGCTGGTGATGGGGTTCTGCATGGGGCACCCATATAATTCATTACAGTTGCCAGGACTTCACGTTCCTATAGCAAAGTGTGCTTGCAGGGTGAACGTGGCCCTGTGGGTGGTGTATTAAAAGGAATAGGTGGGCTTTCCCATATTCCTAACACTTTTTTTTTTTTGGAAGCTGCCCTTGATAGAATTTGCCATCACCTCTCAATAGTCAATACCGACAGTGAACAAAGAAGGAAGAATATTCCTAAAAACTCCTTTCAGAACTGCACTCCCACCACAGTATTTTACTGCCTTATTTCAGCGACCTCTTTTTGAAACTCACTGAAAATACCAGAGCTAATTTCAGGCTTCCTATGTCTTGCAAAGGGCAGAATATTCTTTATAAGGAAAATATATTTGCATTTAATTTAATTTAATTTAATTAAGCGCAGCAAATTCTTTATCATCTGGGCCTAACCATATTCAACTGCCATATAAATTCAATATACAACAAGGTAATGTTTGGCACAAATACTAGAGCCATAAAATATGTCCCACAGTGCTACAGCCTAGATGTTAAGACAAGTATTAGATATGATCTTAGAAAAATTACAATAGACATATTTGTATCAAAATAGCACCATCTAGTTCCTTATGAAAATAATAATTCATCATATTAGTATAGATGGAAAGTTCAGATTCAAAAACACTTTGAAAAGCAATTAGGAAAAACATGTCTGTTTGCTTCTGCTTGTAGATGCATCAGTTCTCTCTGGTGGGATATTCAAGAAACCAGTAACTCTGGTTACCTAGCTGAGAAAGATGATTAATACATAGGCTTTTAGCCTTTTTGCTTTTTAAATTTTGAATCATGAGAATGTATTATACTTCCAACAGTTACTAAGAACATTTTATCCTTCTGAGATTCCTCCAAATATATGGATTTGGATTTTTAGGAGTTTGCTTAAGATGATTTTATATTGATACAGGTAGAGGAAGGATAAACTTTCACTGAGAAATAAGTATAATGATATTATAAATCATTGACTGTCTATTATTTGTTGGCTACTTTGCTAAGAGATTTATGTGCCTTCCTGTTTAATCCTCATCACAAAATTTGGGAAAGGTGCTGTTTTCCCTATTGTACAAATGAGAGGATTAAGGCTTACTATGGATAGGTAGCTTTTCTGAGATCTCATAGGTAGTAAGTAACTAGTGTAACCTGTTGCTGTATAATCCAGGCAGTCTAACTATTGGGCCTTTTAGCTAAAAACAAGCTGGTAGACATTTCCCAATCTGAGTCCTTTATTGGTTCTTAACTCATTTATAAACTCTAGTTAGTACTTTTATAATCATTCATTCTCCTTCAAGTTAGCATTAGAAAAATTAGTGTCAGTGATTGTGTCCTGCTGGGACATCTCTAGATCAGTCCTGAAACATACAGGCCTCAAGGCCAGATTAACCTTAGAGGCCAGAGGATGACCCAACCATGAGAAGATCACTTCCTCCCCAGATTCAGGTTCTATCTAAAATGAATTATTTGATCTATGAGCCTGAAACCCAGTTAAGGAATGGACATTGAAGTCAGCGCCTGGGATTGGTCAGACACATGGTACAAAATAATCACCGTTTGGGGCGCCTGGGTGGCGCAGTCGGTTAAGCGTCCGACTTCAGCCAGGTCACGATCTCACGGTCCGTGAGTTCGAGCCCCGCATCGGGCTCTGGGCTGATGGCTCAGAGCCTGGAGCCTGTTTCCGATTCTGTGTCTCCCTCTCTCTCTGCCCCTCCCCCGTTCATGCTCTGTCTCTCTCTGTCCCAAAAAAAATAAATAAACGTTGAAAAAAAAAAATTAAAAAAAAAAAAAAACAAAATAATCACCGTTTGATCCACTTTATCTCACTATTGCACATTTTTCAGAAATTTGCCTAATTAATGACCCTACTTTCATAAAAACATGGATATATATAAGTGCTAACACATTAAACTTGGAAGGGGAAAAAGAGATTTCCCAGACAGCACTGACCTGTGTGCTACATTGTTCTAATTCTGGAACTGGGAATGACTCCAGTAGACCCACCCATGGCTGAAAATATTCTGGCCTCTTGCAACACTCACCCCAGGTGAAGACGATCTGCTGACCCCTAACTGTAGGTTCAGACACAGACCCTTGCCAAGACCTAGTCCTGTAAAAAAACGTAGAGTCTGTTTGTGTTGTTTCCTCATGAAATCAGTTAGGAATGCCAGCCAAAAAGGAAGCTTTTAGAATACTCCAGGTTGGGGCGCCTGGGTGGCTCAGTCGGTTGAGCGTCGGACTTCAGCTCAGCTCACGATCTCGCGGTCCGCGAGTTCGAGCCCCGCGTCAGGCTATGGGCTGATGGCTCAGAGCCTGGAGCCTGCTTCCGATTCTGTGTCTCCCTCTCTCTCTGCCCCTCCCCCATTCATGCTGTGTCTCTCTCTGTCTCAAAAATAAATAAACGTTAAAAAAAAAATTTAAAAAAAAAGAATAATCCAGGTAAAATACAACAGAATCTGATGTAAAACAATGGTGACAGGGATGGAGAGGGAAGGAGATGAACTGCAGAGGTTTAAAAGGTGAAATTTATTGGCCCTGAATCATCATAAGATGTGAAGATTGAGGTAAAAAAAAAAAAAAAGAGGGGCGCCTGGGTGGCGCAGTCGGTTAAGCGTCCGACTTCAGCCAGGTCACGATCTCGCGGTCCGTGAGTTCGAGCCCCGCGTCGGGCTCTGGGCTGATGGCTCAGAGCCTGGAGCCTGTTTCCGATTCTGTGTCTCCCTCTCTCTCTGCTCCTCCCCCGTTCATGTTCTGTCTCTCTCTGTCCCAAAAATAAATAAACGTTGAAAAAAAAAAAAAAAGAGTCAAAAAAACACTGCCAGATTTTTTAGTTGAATAACTTAGTAGGTGACTGATGCTATCCTTGGAGACTCTGAGGGAGAAGTTGAGGTTTGGGGCAGTTATTTTTGCCTTTCATTTGGTTTCACTTATGCTTGCTTGCTTTTTATTTTGGTGAGTTAGAAAGTGGTTAGAAGGAGGTGATTAATTGATTTCATTTCAAAGACAAGCCCTATCTAACCAGCTTCCTGTTTCCCTTTGGTTTCTACCCCAGTCTTTGTGATATTTAAAAAGACACAAAGAGGGGCACCTGGGTGGCTCAGTCAGTTAAGCGTCTGACTTCGGCTCAGGTCATGATCTTGTGGTTTGTGGGTTCAAGCCCTGCATCAGGCTCTGTGCTGACAGCTCAGAGCCTGGAGCCTGCTTCAGATTCTGTGTCTCCCTCTCTCTATGTCCTTTCCCCACTTGCCTTCTGTCTCTCAAAAAAAAAAAAAAAACACATTAGATAGATAGATAGATAGATAGATAGACACAAAGAGACCCCAAAGTACCCAGGAGACAAGAATCCTGCAGTACTTGTAGGCAAAAAGTTTTCTGAGGCTAGATATCACAAACTGGCACCCATGAAACTGACTCCACCTTGGAAATTAGTTGCCGAAAATGGGGATGTTTCACTTAAAAAGACAGATGCCTGGGGCGCCTGTGTAGCTCAGTCGGTTGAGCAACTGACTTCAGCTCAGGTCATGATCTCGCAGTCTGTGAGTTCAAGCCCCACGTCGGGCTCTGTGCTGACAGCTCAGAGCCCGCAGCCTGTTTCTGATTCTGTGTCTCCCTCTCACTCTGCCCCTCCCCCACTCATGCTCTGTCTCAGAAATAAATAAACATTAAAAATTTTTTTAAATAAAATAAATTTAAAAAATAAAAAATAAAAAGACAGATGCTTGTTTCTGTATTTGCAAAATTTCGGGTCCAGATACCCACATGACACTACCAGTTAAAGCTGACTCTTTAACCAGGGCACTTGTTCTTCATTACATCACCATCTCCTCCATCCCAGCTTCAGTTTGTACATCACCTGCTGGCTTCCCTAGGTATTCTATTTTAAGTCCCCCGCCTTAGGCGAAAAGCTTGGACTAGCTCTGAAATCCCTTCCCCTCTGTAAATATTACTCCCTACTCCCACCCCAGATTGGTGTTCACTGCCCCTATGAACCTCCTAAAGGAAGAAAAACATTTTCTTCTTAAATATAGGTTGGATATTATTCCCCCTCTATTCACTGGATTCTGGGTCATTACTAAACTGTTTTGTACTTCCATGGTAACCTGAAACCCTCCTTCCACTTTTAGCCACCATTACACCTTAGTTTAACAGTGCCCGCCCCAAAAGAGACTTGGTTGAGAGAGAAAGATGCAGAACAAGTACTGTCCAGTTGTTAAGTGCCTGGAGCCCTGGATTTAGACCAGCCCTCACTCTGATAGGACCTCTGCTCTTTGCTACCCTACTATTTTCTAGACACCTAGACCTAACATGCCAGATTAAATATCTGAATCTATCCACCCATTCCAAACACTTGATTCCGATCTCAGGATGTGCTCTTGGTACCTATTATCTCTCAGTGCTCTCTTTCCCCACTCAAAACACCAGACATTAAACCTACCATTTATCTCAGTGAGTCTAAAAAAAAAAAAAAAAAAGATAGGGTGTGAGTTGTAGCAGATTTATATAGTTAAGGGAGGAGTCCCAAAGAAAACTTCTGTTATAATTAGTTGTTCTTACTGCTGGAAGTCTGCCTAATCTCTCACCTGTGTTGGAATAGAAATGTATTCAGAACCCCTGGCACACCTGGTCACCTAAAGTGACTCTCCCTATGACCATTCACATATCTAGAGACCAAATCCACCCCTCATGAATTTCCCATCATATCACTATGCTATGGTTCCTCTGTCCAAGAACCACTTCTTTCTCACCAATAGCCCTAGAAATCTGGCCAGTATCTGTCTTCTACTCATTCTGACTTTGAGTTTGAATGTCTTCTACTCATTCTGACTTTGAGTGTGTGAGGACACATAAGCCAGCTGGAAGTCTGAGAAACCTCCATTTAGATTTAAACAACTAGTTTTGTCATGGGCAACATGAATGAAGCAGCCAATATATTCCAGGTTAAAGCAGTGCAGAAATGAGTAAGACATGGGACCAACCTAGAAGAATAGGCAAAAATATATTAGTTATATATTTGTGTGGTAAGTGTTCTGACAGAACCACGATCACACTTTTATGATATACTAGGAGGCACAGATGAGGAGCACCTAATATCTAGCATAGTGTTTCTCAAACTTTATTGTGTTTGCAAATCACCAGAAATCTTGTCAAAATGAAGATTCTGAGTCATCATGTCTTGAGTGGGACTGATAATCTGCATTTCTAACAAGCCCCCATGGCAATGATGCTGGCCCATGGACTAGACTTTGAGCAGCAAAGTCCTACAGAACCAGGAAATACTTCCCAGAAGAGATGGTGTTAAAGAATGAATAGGACTTAGCCAGTAAAATAAAATAAAGGTGGTCCAGGCACAGAAACAACACAGTTTGAAAAATCATAAAGGGGTTTTCTATTGACTTTTTAATTAGCATACATACTATTAGAACTAGGCAATCTGACTGTTGAAATTAATAGTGTTCAAAAAATGTGGATTGGCTAAAATGTTTTAGAAATACTCTCCACCATTGCCTGAATGGGATATAAGAACCCACTGAAGCCTACACCCCAAGTTCCTTAGAGACAACACTGATGCCCTTGTCACTCATCAGTCAGTGTCTAGCCAACAGTTCAGGAGGACACAGAATCCAACTTTAAATGTTGCCATGTGTGCTTCAATGAGAATTTGCCTTATGAAGTGCGGTTAAGAAACCTCAAATAATAGTGCACTGGTGCTTCATTAGAATTATATTTTGTGCCTGCTTCTCTAATAAATGTCTAACAGATGTCCATGTATGTCACAGACTATTATCTGACATGTTCTCATTACTCCTAGACATGCAGCTATGGGGGAGCAGCTAACCAGCCCTCACCATTCCAAAAGCTTTGATTGCTCTTCTTATCACCTAAACCTTAAGAGTTGTTGACTCAGGTAAGTTGACATCATATCTGTAAAATGAAGGTAGCAATATTTGCTCTGCCCCCTCTTTAAGGACAAACTGGGATAGATGTATTCAGAAGGATTAAAATATGATGAAGGTGTTTTTAAAGAGCCAAGTAACTTCAAGAGCCAGGAGGATTCTTACAGTAGCCACCAATGTAGAAGTTCCTAAATTTGCATGATCAGAAGAATAATCTAAGGTTCTTGTAAAAAATACATATTCCCAGATCATACCAATGGGAATTCTGATTCAGCTCTCTGGGGGAGGCCCACAAATGTAAAAAGCACCCCAAGTGATCCTTTATAATTTTGTTAATTTGGGGAAACTCTGCACTGTGAAATGGAATACGGGGCATCCAGAACAGAACACTCAAAACTCTATCTCCCAACACCAGGTTCATCATACAGAACAGCACCTCTATACCACTCCCAACACCATGAATGACTCACAGCAAATATTTCCCAGTCAAGTAGCTCCCTCCCTCCTGGCAATTCACGTAAAACATGAGACTGAATTGATACTATATGCAACACGGCCTACCAAAATATTTGAGAAGCAAAGATTTGGGACTTCCAATACAATAAATTATTTTTCTTCATCACTTTACAATCAACAAATTTCTCCTACTTGAAAATTCTTTGAACTTTTATCCTCAAACATGAGCAAATAGAATGAGTCGCTTAAAGACCTACTCTGGCAACTATATCTTTCTAAAGCTGTGCTATATCAGAGTCCTGGAAGGTGTGGCCATGGGAAGAACATTACGTGGACCAGGTATCAGATTTTATGTTCATTATGTTTACGTAAAATATCCATGACAAAACAACCTTAGCAGGCCATCTACGTACTCGAATTGTAACTACCACATAAAGACTCTCCAGTGGTGGTCACAGCTACACACAGACAGTGGATGACATCAGTAAATTTCTTACCTGGGAGTCACAACCTGCTGGATGGTCCTCTTGTACTTCCCTCAGAGAACTAGACCCATGAGCTCCATAACCAGGTTAGATTCAGACTTAGCTACTTAGAGAATACAATCAAATAAACCCTTCAATCCAATTATAAAATACTGCTTTAGTTTGAGGGTGGTAAACCTCCAGATTCTATTATCCCTACAGGTGCTGAAAACATCAGGCTGAAAGCATCAGTCGATTTAAAATACGCCTGTGCCGACAAGAGAATGGGAAATGGGATACAGGTTTTACCTTGAAGGCTGACTGAAGGGGGATGACCCATGGTGAATGTCACAGGTCAACTGGGCAGACTGTGTCCAAGCGAGTCAGCATGTGCTAAGGATTTCTTGCTATTTGTTCTTGTCTTTATTTTTCCAATGTGGTTGAATCTCTGTACATTTAGCCTTATAAACATCTCCCCCACTACTAATAACCAGAGAAAAAAATGTTTGTAATAAAAATGTACAATCTAGAGATCAAACCATTTTACAAAAGTTTCAAAAATATTTATATTTTCTTAGCAAACAATGACACGCACTTCAAACACTTGAACATAATATTGTCTATTTTTCTCTCACTTGATTACAGATTAATTTCAGCTTAAACACACATGATCTTCTTTCCAACTTATCTGCTTCAACAAGAAACCATGAGGGTTCTTTATCACCTGTAAAATATCTTTAAAACTGACTAGTAAGTAATGGTAACTATTTTATTAATAAAAGAAATATATTTTGGGGCACCTGGGTGGTTCAGTCGGTTGAGCCTCCGACCAGCTCAGGTCATGATCTCACAGTTTGTGGTTCAAGCCCTGCATCAGGCTCTGTGCTGACAGCTTAGAGCCTGGAGCCTAAGTTCTGTGTCTCCCTCTCTCTCTGTCCCTCCCCTCCTCTCTCTCTCTCTCAAAAATAAATAAACTTAAAAAAATTTTTAAAAATAAAAAATATTTTTTAAATGACTGTGGTTGCCAGACACCAAAGGGTTAAAAAGACATCAATAGATCCAGAGGACGAATTCACAAAGCAGTTAAATTGCAGAGTACTTACATGAAGCAATCTTGCCTATTTTACTTCAAAATGAACGCTGTGAACTGAAAATTTTAGATGAAAGACACCTAAGACCTAAATCAGAAGTTGGTCGATTGTCCCTTTTTTAAAGGACAGGGACAGACGTTGCACATCACAGCTCTCCTCCTAGATAGAGTGCTTTCTTGCAAATGGTTGTGAAATGCTCACAAATGCTAACAACTACACATAACAAGCACACAGCCAGAAGAGGTCCCAGAGGAGCTTTCAAAGAAAATTCAAAATCAAAGTTCTGGTTCTCTGCGTGAGCCAGAGAGTCAGTTCTGTCACTAAGTATCTCAGGCCTCACCTTCCTCACCTAATTATGGGAAGCGCATCTGTGCAATGTGTTGTGAAGGATTACCAGGGGGACGAATGAGATAAAGTATAGAGGCAGCGCAATTTCAAATAAGACTTCCTTTACCGTAACTTTTCTGCTAAACACTACCAGCATTTTCATTTTCAGCCCTTGTATCAATTTAGTCTGTGTTTCTCCTCTCCTGACACCCTTTGTAACCAGTGTGCTGACCTTCCTGCTTTGTGATTGTACAGGGTTCCCTTTATTTTCATTTTCTGTTTCCCCGACATAACCACCAGCCCATATAACCACCAGCCCTTAGTACAGCACCCCATTCTTTTTTTTAATAAGTAAACTCTACGCCCAGCGCGGGGCTCAAATTCACGACCCCAAGATCAAAAGTTGAACACTCTACTGATTGAACCGGCCAGGTGTCCCCAGTACCCATTCTTGAAACTACCTCACCACTGGATAACAAGACTTTTATTTTCACTGATTAAGTACAGTAGATCAGCATGACATGGTGACAAAATTGCACACTTACCCAAGGAATCAGAGCAGAGGTGTTTCCCCTAGATGAGTGGCTAAACTGTGGTTATCAGAGCCAAAGGCACTGGGGCAGAATTATCATCTTCTAATCATTAGAGACGCATCAGGCAATTTTTATCAGAAGCTCATAAAGCAAAGACATCCACACTAAACCATGAGGAAGTCTGGAGCAATGGCCTATTTCCAAACCTGTCAAATTCACTGAGTGAATTAGAGCAAAACTCACCTACCCTTTCCCACTTCCTAATATAGTTTTCATATATTAAGCAGTTATTTTCATCATCATCATGGACAAGCCTCCCTATGGCAACCATGACGCATTCACTATGTTTCAGTGATTATATGGCACTGAGCTCCCCTCCACTGACCCCTTTTCAGATTTAAGACAGAAATAGCTTAAAATTAACAACAACAAATTACATGTGCTTACAAGTATATACCCTTTAACCAGAAAATGCGGTAACACAACTCCAGGAGAGTGAACTTAACAAAGACGGGGGTCATGTCAGCCAGTGGTGTTACCTACACCAGGCCTGTCCTGCTGCCACACCTGGGCAACCGTTGCCTGACAAGAATCAAGCTTATTTATTTGGTCAATGCCACTGTTTCTCATTTAAGTCTTCCTGTAAAACAAACATAGAATACACATTCCACTCTTATATCGTCTCAATTTTGTCAAAAGCCTGGCATGATGAGAAGGCAGCTGAGATTTAAAAAAAAGAGCAGTGAAGCAGATTGCAAAGAATATTATGAAACTGTTGTTCACTTCTGCTTTTTTTTTTAATTTTGCCCTCCTCTGAAAGTAACCACTGAATTACTTCATCTTTCCATCTGTCTACACACAAGCTCTTTGTGAAGATTAAGATACATAGTTAACAAATCCATTGGTTACTTCACACTTAGCACTAAATCTCAACAGAAAATAAAAAAATAAATAAAAAGGTTTACGGTCTTTTCCCAAAGAGGTGTGGAGAAACTATTTTCTGTTATTAAAAGCATAAGGGAAAAAATGAAACTTATCTACGAGTCAAGAGACTATTTTTATATGTGACAAACACTGTATTTTAGCCAGGCATTGTAACATCAGTAATTCCCTTTGGAAACCAAATTTCCACTGTGTAATCGTGCCTCTGGTGACTTAGAACTGAGTCAGTTCGAACGCCATGCCTCTGGAATGCCACCTGGCTGTGGAAGTGTGAAGAAGCCTGTGTGGCCACTAACACTTGAGCGGCACTCACAGCCCTGAGGAAGGGCATCCTGGGTGCTGTGTGACGTCACAACCAGGTAGAACACTGCCATTGCTCTAAAAGGAAAAGAATGTGGCTCCGCCTTGCCAGGAAGAGGAATCTGACCAACTTCCCACAGGCAATTCTTTCAAGGTGAGTCACTCGTGCTCCCTGAGTGCACAGGTGAAGTGCACAGGAAGGACCACTCCACCTGCCAGGCCAGCAGGGGCCACACAATCAGCTTCTGAATCCCAGTGTTCAACTCATCTCCAAACACATTTTTATTTGAATTTCTAAACCCAAAGAATATACTTAATCACCGTCCCCAGCCTTCTCTCCTTTCAGAGGCTCATTAATTTCATAGATATTTAGGTGCCTATTATGTGTAAGACATACTAGGCCTGGAAAGAGAACGGTTACAGGTGGGGAAGCCAGAATTTTTTAGTTAAACAGAAAAAAACAGAGAACAAGAACTGAGAAAGCTCTAAGAAGTAAGCAAACAGGCCCCTATAATAGAGACTCACAAGGGGGCTCTATTCAAGGAAGTCTCATGTTCCCACTTTCATGTACATTCTGGTTAAAACACAGGTTCCAGTCTAATGCGTCAGCAGTGGGACCTGGGATTATACATTTCTTACAGACCTTACTAGGTCTGCTGCTGGTCCACAAACCGTATTTTTGAGTAAAAAAGGTACTAGGGTTTAATCAGTCAGTTAGGGAGTAGTGGTTTTCAAAGTGTAGTCACCAGATCAGCGGCTTCAGCATTACCTATAAGCTTATTAGGAAATGCAAATTCTCAGGCCCCAACCCAGACCTGCTGAATCAGAAACCCTGGGAGTGTCACCCAGCAATCTATATTTTAATCAGCCTTCAGGGTGATTCTGATGCCCACTGAACCCCAATACAGCAGACACTGGGCCACATGTGGCTACAGAAGACTCAAGGTGTAGTCTGTCTGAAAATATGCTGTAACTGTGAATCACACACCAGATTTCAAAGACTTGAAGAAAGTAAAAATACCCTATTAATATTTTTTTATATTGAATGCATGTTAAAATACTATTTGGGATATACTGGGCTAGACTGACTATACTGTTAACACTAGTTTCACCTGTTTTATTTTGCTTATTTTAATGTAAGTAAAAGCTTTAAAATTATACATGTGCTTAGCATTATAATTACACTGGGCAGTGTAGTAAACTTTGAGAACTGCTCTGTAAAGCAACTGTTCTTGACTGGGACAATTTTGCCACCCAGGGAACACTTGACAGTATCTGGAAATATTTTTGGTTGCCATAAATGGGAGCAGGAGTTCTATGGAAATCTAGTAAATAAAGACTAGGGATGCTGATAAACACCCTACGATGCACAGAACGGCCCCCACAACAAAGCATTATCCAGTTCAAAATGTCAGCAGTACTGAGGTTTGAGAAATCCATTCTACCAGTGATTCCACACCTTAGAATCACTCAGGGACAGCTACAAAATACAGACACTTTGCCCCTGGCCCATCCCGAGACTAATTAAATTAGACTCCCTGGTACAGGGGCCATGGCATTGGTTGTTCATTTCATTTTGTTATTTTAAATTCCGCAGGAATTCTAATGTACAGCCAGGGTTGAGAACACCTGTTCCAGAGGCGACACTCATTTACGAACACTCTAGGGCTTACCCACCACCCCTCAGCCCTAGACCTGAGCATTTACACTTTTATCAAGTTTCCAGGTGATGCTGAAGTTGCTGGTCCAGTGTCCTGTGGAGCGTTTACATACTGTTCAACAGAGCACTATTCTCCAGATGGCCCAGCACCCAGAGAAGGCAGAGATACTCCCTGGCTCGGGCAATAGCTTCCTCTGGACAAAAGGACAACCCCACCACCGAAGGTGGTCGAACCTGACTGGAAGCTGAGGCTCTACCAAGTGACTCCTCATTTTGCCGAGGCAGATGCAACTCTTTCATGGAAGGCAAGGGTGTTACAGAGGCCAAGTGCTCACTTAAACCCTTGCTGGCCTACATTGCAAGCACAGAGCAAAATTTTCAGTTGCAGGTCACCTTAGTGAAACATCTTTCACTTGACTATTCAGTTCCTGCCTATACACAATTTACATCACTTTAAAAGTAAGTTTTTACAGTTTATAAAATTATACAGATTAATATAACTTATCCCTGAAACTAATTCTCAAGAAAGCAGGAGCCAAGGAAAACTAGAGCTTTAAACAATGGTTCTCTACTCCATAATTAACTTTTGAAAGGTATATATAAAAATCTAAAATAGGCAGCCCTCCATACAGACACCCAGGCAGACAAACAGGTAGACATGTGCATGTGTGCACACACACACACACACACACACACACACACACACACATATCATTATCATCTTGAGCA